CACACACACATACACACACAGTTACAGGTAGACAGTTACGCACATACACACAGTTACAGGCAGACCGTTATACACACTCACACACACACAGTTACAGGCAGACAGTTACACACACACATACATACACATATTTACAGGCAGACAGTTATACACACAAGACAGACAGTCAGACACACACACACAGTTACAGACAGACAGTCAGACATACACACAGTTACAGACAGTCTCTCACACACACACACAGTTTTAGGCAGACAGTTACACACACACACAGTTTCAGGCAGTTACACACACACACAGTTTCAGACAGTTACACACACACACACACACACAGTTTCAGACAGTTACACACACACACACACAGTTTCAGACAGTTACACACACACACACACACACACACAGTTTCAGACAGTTACACACACACACACACAGTTTCAGGCAGTTACACACACACACACACACACAGTTTCAGGCAGTTACACACACACACACAGTTTCAGGCAGTTACACACACACACACATTTCAGGCAGTTACACACACACACACAGTTTCACAGACAGTTACACACACACACACACACACACACACACACAGTTTCAGACAGTTACACACACACACACACACACACACACACAGTTTCAGACAGTTACACACACACACACACACACACAGACACACAGAGTTTCAGGCAGTTACACACACTCTTATACTTACAGGCAGTGTGGGCTGGAGGAGTGGATTCCCTGCCTGAAGTCCTTCCCTGGCTGGAGGTGGAGGTGCAGGGATTTCTACTTGCTCCACCTCCATGTGCAGCAGTTAAGGGCCGTGTTAAGCCCCCCCCCCCCCGCTCGCGATTAGGCCCCACCCCCAAACGGCAGTAGCTCCGCCCCCTCCTCCTGGGCCAGTTCATCTTTCTGGTCTCCGTGAGCTGTGCGACACCCCAGCTGCCATGGGGCACAGCTCACACAGCCCCAAGACCAGGGTCAAGGCACCCACAACCAGGTGGCACCCTGGGCGGACCGCCCCCTCCGCCCCCCCCTTAGTCCGCCACTGGTGTGTATATAATGCAGAGTGTGTGTTTGTGTAGTCCTGGTCTGTATTAGTTGCCATAATACAGACCTTGACTCGAGTATAAGTCGAGTGGGGCTTTTTCAGCACAAAAAATGTGCTGAAAAACTCGACTTATACTCGAGTATATACGGTAACTGTAAAGGGTGCTATGATTTGACCATAACATTCAAGTGATTTAACCCCTTAATGACCGAGGACGGTTCAGGACCGTCATCTGCATTTTTCCATTGCACCGTCCTAACGGTCTTATGTACTTACCCGATCACCATCATTCCCCCGGCGGCGATCGGCGGTGCTCCCGGTGTGGGGAGACTGCCTGCAGCCCAGACAGTCTCCCCATGGCGGATTAGGACCCCTGTGGCGATGTGATCGCTCAACAAAGCAATCACATGGTCATAATAGTTGTCCATGTGTCTGCCTGCAGGGGGACTGTGTGTGCTGACAGGCAGTCTCCCTGCAACTGTAAAATCATAAAAATAAATAAAAGTTAATGTTAATAAAAAAATAAAAATAATTATATATGTGTGTATATATATATATATATATATATATATGTGATAGATAGACATATATTATATCTAAATAATATATGTTTATATATCATATATATAATGTCATACTAAGTCAGTGATGGCGAACCTATGGCACGCGTGCCACAGGTAGCACCCAGAGCCCCCTCTGTGGGCACACGGCCATAGGTCGCCGGAGGGAGGGTGCGCTCCGCTGGCGCATCCATAAGGCGGCACAAGTGGCCGCCTTAGGGCGCACCGGCCCGGCGGGCGCAAAACCAGAGTGACCGGCAGAGCGCTCCCTCCTGCCAGGCACTCTGTGTAGCGTGGCCGAGTGCGTGGCGGTACAGGAACTTAGGTTTCCTGTACCCGGGCGGACGGAAATGAAGTGCTCACAGAGAGAGCACTTCCTGTCCCGTCCGGGTACAGGAAAGCGAGCTCCTGGATGCGCTTTCGGCCAGCGCTACAAGTAGGAGCTCAGGGGAATGACTAAGGTAGGGATGGAGGGAAACGAGGGGGGTGGAGAGGTTGAAACTGAGGTATTATGGGGGGAGAAACTGAGGAGGTATGGAGGGAACTGAGGAGAGATGGGGAGAAAACTGAGGGAGAGTTGATGGAGGAGGTTGGGGGGAGAAACTGAGGGAGGTATGGGGGAAACTGAGGGAGGTATGGGGGGGAGAGGAAACTGAGGGAGGTATGGGGAGAAAACTGAGGAGAGGTATAGGGGGAAAACTGAGGTAGATGGGGGAGAGAAACTGAGGGAGGTATGGGGGAGAAAACTGAGGAGGTATGGTGGGGAGAAGGAAACTGAGGGAGGTATGGGGGGAGAGAGAAACTGAGGGAGGTATGGGGGGAGAAACTGTGGAGGTATGGGGGGGAGGGAGAAAACTGAGGGAGGTATGGGGAGAAAAACTGAGGGGTATGGAGAATAGGGAGAGATCGGGGAGAAAACTGAGGGAGGTATGGAGGGGGGAACTGAGGGAGAGATGCAGGGAGAAAACTGAGGGAGGTATGGAGGGGGGAACTGAGGGAGAGATGGGGGAGAAACTGAGTGTGGGATGGGAGAAAAAAAATGAGGGAGGGATGGGGGGAAAGAAGACAGTGGGGGTGGGGAGAGGGACGACGACATACACACAGCACCCCTGCCCTACACACATCACCCCACACAAAGACACACACACATCACCCCCCCACACACACACACACCACCCCACACACACACACACATCACCCCACACACAAACACAAACACATACACTGTACCCCTCAATGCAGTGTGTGTACACTCAGCAGTCTGTCTGTGTGTGTGTACACTCAGCAGTCTGTCTGTGTGTGTGTACACTCAGCAGTCTGTCTGTGTGTGTGTGTACACTCAGCAGTCTGTCTGTGTGTGTGTACACTCAGCAGTCTGTCTGTGTGTGTGTACACTCAGCAGTCTGTCTGTGTGTGTGTGTACACTCAGCAGTCTGTGTGTGTGTGTGTGTGTGTATACACTCAGCAGTCTGTGTGTGTGTGTGTGTGTGTGTATACACTCAGCAGTCTGTGTGTGTGTGTACACTCAGCAGTCTGTGTGTGTGTGTGTGTGTGTGTGTGTGTACTCAGCAGTCTGTGTGTGTGTTTATTTAGCAGACTGTGTACTCAGCAGTCTGTGTGTGTATTCAGCAGTCTGCTAAATACAGACAGACTGCTAAATACACACAGACAGACTGCTAAATACACATACAAACAGACTGCCGAGCACACACACAAACTGCTTAATACACACACAGAGATGTTAATTAGTTTGGACAACTGTATGAGTTGTTTTTTATAAACTTAAACCTCAGTATTCAGGTTTAATTGCCGTTTTGGCACTTTGAGGGAAAAATAATTGGCATGTATTACGGTTTGGGCACTCGGGCTCAAAAAGGTTCGCCATCACTGTACTAAGTGTATTTTTATATTAATATGTACTTATATTAATATAAAAATACACTTATAATTAAATTACATACGTATATATATATAATATATATAATAACTATATATATTGTGTGTATAAATATATATTATAAAATACAAATAATAAGTAGATTAAATAAAAAAAATTACAAATAATAATAAAAATTTAAAAAATTATATATCTATGAAATTTTATTCTAACTGTATTTTGATATTAAAATATATATATTTATATCAAAATACACTTAGAATGAAATTGTATATATATCTATGTATATATAAATAAATAAAAATAATACGAAATACATATGTCCATATACAAAATTACATAAATAATTATACATGTAGACTTCAAATATATAAATATGCATATATATTTAAATTCTACGTGCGTATTTATGTAATATTTTTACATAATTAAGTAATTTTATTAATTGCAATTTGAGGGACCTGCCTGCCAACCCATGCCCAAAGTCCAGAGAATTTAATTTGCTAGCACTGTATTTTACCCTGTAACTTTCTATGACACCCTAAAACCTGTACATGGGGGGTATCAATTTACTCGGGAGACTTCGCTAAACACAAATATTAGTGATTCAAAACAGTAAAACATATCACAGCGATGATATTGTCAGTGAAAGTGACTTTTCCGCATTTTTCATACACAAACAGCACTTTTACTGATGATATAATTGTTGTGATACGTTTTTCTGTTTTGAAACACTTATATTTGTGTTCAGCAAAGTCTCCCGAGTATAACGGTACCCCCCATATACAGATTTTATAGCTTTTTTGAAAGTTATAGGGTCAAATATATGGGTCAAATATTTTTACATTGAAAATGGCCAGGTTGGTTACATTGCCTTTGAGAGCATATGGTAGCCCAGGAATGAGAATTACCCCCATGATGGCATACCATTTGCAAAAGAAGACAACCCAATGTATTGCAAATGGGGTATGTCCAGTCTTTTTTATGTGGACACTTAGTCACAAACACTGGCCAAAATTTGCATTCAATTTAGTTTTTTACTTTTTTCACATACAAATATGAACGCTAACTTTGGCCAGTGTTTGCGACTAGGTGGCTACTAAAAAAAACTGTACATACCCCATATTGAATACCCTGGGTTGTTTACTTTAAAAAAAATATGTACATGTGGAGTGTTATTCAGAGATTTATGACTAGTGATGTCCCGAACGGTTCCCCGCGGACTCATCATTGAGTAAACTTTGACCCTGTACCTCACAGTCAGCAGACACATTCCAGCCAATCGGCAGCAGACCCTCCCTCCCAGACCCTCCCACCTCCTGGACAGCATGCATTTTACATTCATTGTGAAGCTGACATTGTAACACTATTATCTGTCATAAATAGTGATGTCGCGAACGGTTCGCTAAACGGTTCGCGAACGGTTCGCAACGAATGGTTCGCCACGGACTCATCATTGAGTAAATTTTGACCCTGTACCTCACAGTCAGCAGACACATTCCAGCCAATCGTCAGCAGACCCTCCCTCCCAGACCCTCCCACCTCCTGGACAGCATGCATTTTACATTCATTGGGAGGAGGTGGGAGGGACTTGGAGGGAGGGTCTGCTGCCGATTGGCTGGAATGTGTCTGCTGACTGTGAGGTACAGGGTCAAAATTTACTCAATGATGAGTCCGTTGCGAACCGTTCGGGACATCACTATTTATGACAGATAATAGTGTTACAATGTCACTATTGATAAATTTGAAAAAATGTATGTTTTGAATCCGCAATATCCTACTTGTACCTATAGCCCTATAACTTGCAAAAAAGCATGTAAACACTGGGTATTTTAAAACTCAGGACAACATTTTGAATCTATTTAGCAGTTGTTTTATTCGCTTTTGTAGATGAGTAAAAGATTTTTCAAGTAAAAGTCAAAAAACTTTTTTTTTTTTTTTTTAATTAAATTACATGAGATTATATAAATAATGGTATGTAAAGAAAGCCTTTTTTGTCCTGAAAAAAAACAATATATAATTTGTATAGGAACAGTAAATGAGAGAGCGGAAAATTACAGCTAAACACAAACACCATAAAAGTGTAAAAAGAGGCCTGGTCGCAAATGTACAACATCGCAAAAACAGTCCAGTCCTTAAGGGGTTAAAATGAACATTCTATTTGGATTATTGCCTCTACATAAAGCATTTTACTTGCCTTTATTCACCTGACTGGCTGCTCTTGCTACAGTCATCCCGCCTCTGCGGGCTGAGATCATCAATTCTGTATTCGTAGATATACATTGTGAGGCAATTGCCACACTGCGTCGACGCAATGCATCTCTATGGGGTGTGTTCAGCACAGTGGCGGAGCTTTGACTTTAAATATTGTTTTTAAAGTTTCATCCACGATTTCATTGATTTGGCATATGGTTTTACATCAGATGTATCATGATCCCTATAGCGAGCTAGTAGTAACATCTAGAGATTTTCGATGGTTAACTTGACATGAAAACGTAAGGTTGATTATCTGTTTTTTCTTATCAGTGTTTTGCATTACTTCCACCAGTTTGTTTATATCTGAATATTAGGGAGCCAAAGACATTTATTTAAGAAAATAATTCAATATATAAGGTTGAAGCCAATGCAAAATGTTACATTTGTCAGGCTGTTGGGAATTTTCTGCACTTTGCTTAAAGCTCACTTTTCTAATTATCATTTGTTTATGCTCAGAGACATCTGTTTACTTCAGTACCATATTCCTGTATTACATGTTTTTATTAAATGTGCTTGTAATTTATTGTAAAATAAAGACTTGCCTTTTGTCAGCTATATTCAGAAGAGAAAATGTGAAAGAAATGTCTGCTTTGCAGCCTGAAGCAGCTTGATATGTCACAGAGGTCTGTACTATTAAGGAGCAGACGGTACCTCTAACGTATTGCAGTGATTTTGTCACTCTACATCAAAGTGTAATAAGCAATTGATTTTATATGCAGTACATGATAGAGACAGAAAAAAAAGTTACTTTTAAAAAATATATATATGCTTTTTTTTCCACTAGCAGAAATCCCTGCTTATTTTACATTATTTTCAAGTTTGTTTTTTTAATGTAAGATGACATTACTATTCATCATAAAAAATATAAATATATACAATGAACAATTTTTGATGATCAATGATTTAGCTCTTACTATTTAACATTCAACTAATCAATAAAAAAAAATCTTAACTTCAGTCAAATGGTTCTGCTATGATAATGTGAAAATATCTAGATTCTGAAAAAGAGTGCCAAAAATCTACATTCCTTGCATTTGCAGTTAATCAGCAAGGGTTTTTGTCTGTGACATAGAAATAAACGCTGGTTATTCCTCTCTCTACATAACTTATTAGAGTAGATTGAGTTCTCTTTAGAACAACCACATATTCACTTCGCACCTGAAGATACAGGAAGCAGATTTTTACATTTTTATGGAACCCTACAAAAATAGCCAGAATAGCTTTTATTTCAAAGCAAGAATAATTATTTTCCTGACCTTTCCAAATATGCACCATGTTACCAATATGTGTCTCTGTGCCATATCCAAATAATGAAATTAATTAATCAAGAAGAGTGCCTTGAAGGTAAATTTTGCATTTACCTTCCAAAGGATATTGCAACTATGGTCAGAGTGAGGAAATCAATGATAGAAAATGTGTCTACGATATTTTTTTTATATATATATTCTTCTCCTAATCACCTGTATATGCATGGAAAAAATACAATACAACTCCTTTTCTCTGCAAAACATTTACAACAATTTCATTAAAATGACCTTGTTTTTCTAAGACACCCTTTACAGCAATGCTATTTTATAGAGTTTTAGCTGTAAAGTAACGTGACATCTTTTTATATATATTTTAATTTACCTGCCTTTTATTAAGGCTCAGGATTGAAAATGATCTAATTCCATCAAACCAACACGTTCATTTCCTATCACAAAAGTTGAACGTGATAATAAGCTGAATTTAGAAATAAAAAGTTACTGCTCAAAAGATCATCTGCATTATCTGCCTTTTTGCTGGTGATATTACATTTCTTTCATCACCATCTAAACAGAAACCATTAGACTTGTGGAATAATGTCTCCAGCCTTTAATAAAAGGAGAGCCCTGTATCTTTTCCATTTGTGAGAATGACTGCTTTGCATCTTTTTGTTCAACCCTTTCAGCTTTTCTAACTTTCTGTAAATAGCTGAATCACACTCTTCTTTTGTCGTTTTCAAGTAAAATTGAAGATTTTTGTTTAAAACAAAGTTACACAGTTGATGTCTCATGCTTTTAACAGCAGGACTTTATGGGTGAAACTAAAGTTCTGAAACGGTGAGAATTGCTAGTTTATGATTAGTGCTTAAGACTCGTAGCTCTGAATGTGTGCTTGTTTTTTGTCTTTGCATTACTAATGGTTCTGTATACATTGTATATAGCGCTATACAAAAAACTATTTTATCTACACTTTGAGATTGACAAAGATTAATAACAATAGTATAGTGAAGTGTGGGTGCCCTTATCCTTGCATTATCACCTTTTTTCTAATCAAGGCTGCTGCTATTGACGGTTACTGAATGCATTAGAAGCCATGGATGATTCACATCCTAGATCGTCACTTAGAATGTTTATCGTGTTTTTACAGGAATTAATGGCTCACTGTTTATGATCAACATCACTAATCTAGCACTTGATTGCTTGTTAGACAATCTAATGGGAGGTCTTCCTAGACACTCTCTCCATTAGATGTCATGCATCTTTAATTTGCTTAAAGATTATAATCTGCATTTTTCAGAATATCAGATTTGTAAGCACCGTACATTTGGGAATAATAGACACTGTATATACACTGTATATCTTTTACTTGCATGGATCTGGTTCATTTGATATTTCATTTATTGAACTAAAGTCCTTTTCTGTGTGGTAAAATGCTTTAAATGTGTTTGTGATGCGAACACTGTTCTTTTTGTTTCTGGAAATGTTATATTTTGAGGAAAAAATACTTGTCATTTTGCATTTGCTTGAAATGAACCATTGATCTAACATCACTGCAGGGTAGCAGTTCCTGGTATGTGAAAAGGAGGTGAATTCCTTCTTCCTCGGTGTCGCCATCTTTCTTTGAATTTTCTAAAACAAAGCTCCCTGGTGATATTTCGCTTGTAAACTTTTGCTAATACACCTGGGATCTACCACACTGGATTCTATAGAAGATCCAGTGCAATCTTCCACAGAATTTAATTGAGACGGATACTAGAAGAATCTATTGCACATCATTTAAAGAGATATTTGCAAGTGATGTCATAAACAAAAAGCTAAGTGTGACAGTAGTCACCATCACTGGGAACGAAAGACGAACACTTTATATAGGTCCCCATTACTCTTATGTTTTAGTCAGCCTTTACTTATTACAGGTGCAGGGTGTGTATAATGTATTTGTTTGTTGTTAATTATGTTCTTCCCCCATTTCCTGTATTATTGTTTTCCCAGCAGGGAATTATCCCATTGTTCCAGGGACAAGTACAAACCAGTTCAAAATGGCTGCCATGCCACTTCTTTAACCCCTTAAGGACACATGACATGTGTGACATGTCATGATTCCCTTTTATTCCAGAAGTTTGGTCCTTAAGGGGTTAAATCTCCCATGTGGCTCTCAGCCCTTCTTAATGTCTACCCCCACCCTTCCTGCTAAACACAGTACTGCATTCAGCACAAGTGTAATTTAGCTTTGTAGTGTAATTGGTTACTATCCCAAGTTGATAATGCCTACTGGTTGACCTTGGGATGTGTAGTGTAATTGGTTACTGTCCAAAGTCCATAATGCTATTGGTTGATTTGGGATGTGTAGTGTAATTGGTTAATATCCCAAGTCCATAATGCTATTGGTTGATTTGGGATGTGTAGTGTAGTTGGTTACTATCCCAAGTCCATAATGCTACTGGATGACTTGAGGACCTGAAGTGGAAGTTTGTTCATCACTGTAACTGTATTGTATGTAAATGAGGCTGTGTGGGGATAGATAGACATGCTATTTTCGATAAAACAGATTTGTTGTACCCTACACTATGTGTCGTCTAATGTTTGGGGGTTGAGCTATAATTACTGAAGAGCGACTTTCTCCTGTTAACGAATCTACAGACGGAGGTACTCAGCCGGTGTATTGGCAATCTGTTATACTAAGCAACCGAAAAACTATTCATATTATTTATTTATTTATTTATTTATAAAATATTTTACCAGGAAAGATACATTGAGATTTCTTTCGTTTTCAATTATGTCCTGGGTCCACAAAACATTGCATTGTTACATTAGGGTACACTAAAATACAAAAACAATATTAGTACACAATATATACACAATTTAACATAGAACAGGTAAGAAATATATAATCAATCATGATAGGTGTGTTCTGTTTTGAGGTATGTAGAGAGGGATCTCTTAAAGGACTTTAGGCTTAGGGAAGATTTTAAATTGTGCGGGAGGTCGTTCCACAATTGCGGCGCTCTGTAGGAAAAGGAGGATCGGGCTGCTTTCTTTTTGTATTGAGGTAGACTAAATAAAGTGTTGGTACTGGATCGGAGGTTATAGGACGTGGGGACAGCCGAGGAGAGCATTTTGTTCAGGTAGGGTGGG